GAGATTTGATAACAGAAGGATATACGTGTCAATGGTTTTCCTATATACAATTATCAGAAAGGTTTAAAGATGTTATGGTTTTGAACAATGTAAGACTGAGTTTGAAGTAGAATTATGTACAAATGATGACCATGCTAACATGTACACATTTTTGTTGAAATTTGAGACAGAAGAACAAGTGTATTATAAAATGGGCTAAAAATGTTGATCATAGTATACAAATGGATCAATGAGAAAATATGTGGTTGAAAGGATTGAAATTCACATTATGTTCCAGTCTTAAATAGAATTTTTATAAAATGATGTACCATTGGTAATTATCATTAACATTGTTGTTATTATTTTATGTCTTTGAGTAAGTTTTGCCTACTGGTAACTTCCTGTACTAGTCCCTGCAGTTTTCTTGGCAAGGTTTTTCAGAAGTGGTTTGCCCTTGCCTCCTTCCTAGGGCTGAGAGAGAGGGACTGGCCCAAGGTCACCCAGCTGGCTTCGTGCCTAAGGCGGGACTAGGACTCCCGGTTTTTCGGTTGCTAGTTTGGTGCCTTAACCACGACTCAAAACTAGCTCTCTAATATTAATTAATAAAATAAATTGTGAGTGGTCTATGAGGCCTGACTTATTTTTGATATACCTCCCCCACTCTCTCTCTCTCTATATGTATGTAAGAATGTATGTAAACAATATATGTAAAAACTTATAACTCTCATAAATGTTTCTATCTTTCAACAACCCTGGATACAACCTGAATTAAAAAAAATAAAAATAACAGATACTAATCTACATGTATCAAACTCTATCTTAAGAGAATGGCTGGGTTTTCCCATCACACCTAAGCCTTAAATTTGGTTTGGGCATAGTATATTGTACAGATCTAGCTGGTGTGGTTTGCAAATCATTATAGCTTAGTCTGTAGCTTGTTGCATTTATGCCTCATTTTTCTGAGGCCACAATGTAATCCATACAGCAATCTCACCTAATTTTATCTCAACAACTTCATGAGATAGGTTGAGCAAAGAAGACTTCTGGAGAATCAGGTAAAGACTTGAATCTGATCCAAACATTAAACTGGGCTGCATTGTTAACCCAGCCAGTTATGGTTTATTCAGTTAACCACAATTAAACAAATGATCTTAGTATGATGTGTGAACCCCAGTCAGTTACAACTTTGTTAACTTTACCTCTCTTCTCTCCAAATATTTTAGTTGTTTACAGAATATCCACTTCTGAGAAAGTTTTGAAGAACTCATTTTGTGATATTATTTTATTAGATATTAAATTATGTTAAATATATTATTATCCCTAATAATAAATAAATAAATAATTTAAAATTTAAAATTCCTGCAAACATTCAAAGACCTTTCCTCTATTTGAAAAGAATATCTAATATCAAACGAACATGATATTAGCAGAACTGTAGCCATCAGGAATTCCTAAAGGTAAAGGCTACTAAGTTTCCCAAGATCTCAATTTGCATGCAAGCAGACCTATTGCGTTACCATAACCATGAATCCACTGGAAACATTAGAGGGGCACAACAAGGTAGCAGGTTTCCAGACAATTCTGAGCTGACAACTTGTCCAACAATGTATGGAGTCCAAATGGTCCCTTATCTATTCCTTTTAGGTAAGACTACTACAACTACACTCTCTACATCGATCCTGAAAAATGAAGAATCATTAAGGAGTTTACCTCTGGAACTAGCACTATTCTATCTGTTTCCTTATGATCTGCAGTGACAAGCAGCCATTAGGGCTTTACTTTATCCAAGTAAAGATAAGACAGATCCCTCAAAAGTCAGACAAAGGAAGTCCTGTTGTTCAGGAATCTTTGGTTCAAGATTCTATCATTATTCTGTTCATGTTCCTATCTGGCATGTTCCACCTCAGGCTTGATGTTGGAATGTGATTCTAGAACTTCCACTGATCTCTCAGATTGAGATGGCTCCTCCTCATTTAGGAGTGGGTTGCTTTTCAGGATTGAAATCGTGACTCTTAAAAACAGACATTCAGATAAGTAGAGGAGCCCACAAAGAGCAGGTATGATTCAAAGTGTTAAGAGTTTATTTATTGACAGTCAAAAGAGAAGGAATTAGGTGGTATGAATTATTAGGAGAAATAAAGAGTTTCAGCCTACCTATATTTATATATGGGCAAACATCCACTACTGTACACATGTCTCAGTAGTATCCCTGCTCCCTCCAAGAAGTGGAAAGTGCATTCAAGGGATGCCCTGCAAAGAAGCCTGTGTTATACAGAAATGGAGATGCCAACTGAAGTTCTTCCAGGATAGTGCATTAGCAGAAAAGTTTCATCTCTGACACATGTTTAGAGCTGCTTTACTCTGACAATCGCTTTCTGCTGAATCATTCATTGGCTTCACTGACCACCAGCAGCTCCTGTTGTTCTTCCTCAACTAAAATCTCTTAGGATTTAGTTAATCATACTATTCTGTTTCCACTTACACAAGCCTTGGCATATAATTAATTTAACAATTATATTAACCTTGCTCCATATACTGTCGGTTGCCGCATTGAAAGATGTGCTCCAGAGAGCTCAGGATAATGAGTATTAACAATGCTGTGAGCTAGATTATTCTAGTAACTCTCCCAAGGCCATTTCATAAGGCTTCTATACAGTGGGACTGATGAAGTTAAAACATGGAAAATGCAGCAAAATATTGCAGTATTGTATATTCCTCTTCAGCCAGTCAGGGACCTTTCCGGGATATTCCATTTTATTCCATTCTTTATATTTATATTGGTCCTCATGATCAGTCCTCACTAAACTGTTCACCCCTCACCCCATTTTTTTCCCTAAAAAATTAATGTAAAATCTTTAGACCTGTGAAAACACCTGATTCTTCTGTGTGGATGATGCTTTTTTGGCTACATACGGATTGACATTTGGAATACTTGCTATTAAAAGATGTAACAATTACTTCAAACATTTTTAGTTGCATTGGCAAAGCTAGAGACTGCTATATTCTTAATGCAGGCAGAATTAATAACCATTATATTCTTAGTGCATTAATTAATTACTGAAATACAAAAAAGCTGTTGAAGGAGCTGCCTTCCTCCCTTGCTGGGCAGAGGAAGGGCACAGAATCTGGGAAATGAACACTGCTGCCCACAATAATCCTTACTTTTTTCAGGATAGTAATAGCAAGATCCCATAGTGGAATGAGGAGGGGGAATCGCTGCAATTGCACCAATATATCTATCAGCCAAGTGGAGGAAAATGAGAAACACTGACTATTTAACCCCAGAAATGGGTTCTATCTCATCTGAATAACATTCTCACAAAACTAAGCACGCCTCACTTATTTTACCAATTATCTATGTCAGTTCATATATCTCTTACAAAATTCATCATCATTCATAAGAGGTGGGACCTGTTAAATAAGAAAAGTATAGGAATAATTTTGTTATTTGGGATAATGTTTTACACTTAAACACAAAAGCAATGAGTGATGAGTTAGTGTCACACCCCATGATTCAAAGGAATGCACAAATGTGTTATGCAAGCACTGGGGCCAAATCAGCTTTGCACCACCATTTCTTATATTGCTTCCCAAAAAGTCACTTCTAAAGGCTGCATTCTAAAGCTGCATTGTAACATAGAACGTAACATAGAAATCTGCAGTAAGAAGAGAAAAATAATCTGAAAAGATCAAAGAAGCACAGATCCTTGTGAATCTCTGTCAAGTGTACTGTCACTCTGGATTTGTTATGAAAGTTTACCATGATCAATAGATATTAATTTCATGTTCTTCACTGTTGGTCCTGTACAGATATATACCACTGGGATTGCCCTGTTTTCTTTATCTGACAACAGTTTCTGATGTTTCATCAGAAGCAGCTAGCAAAGGTCTCCTGAGCTTCCACACAACGGGTCAGGTGGCACACAGGCTTCACTCCTTTGCTTACTGAACTGATCATGCATTTCTTTGGGGAGATCCCTTTTGGAGTCTGCCATATTATTCCATGAGTTATGAGTTAATGTCAAGACTTCATGATTCAAAGAAAAACACATCACATTATTAATTATTAGAAAAAGTCCTGGTCTTTTACTTTGCATTATTAAAAAAATTAAGAAACCTCCTGTCTATTACGAATGCAAATGGGTGGGTCTTAAATCCTAACCTAACCATAATTTTGACTAGTAGCAAGGCAGCATATTTTTATGATAACCCAAGATCTAGAAATGGCTATTTGAATGGCTACTGAAACTCTATCTTTAAAGAGGAAATGGAACATCCAGAAAAGTGCCGCAATACGTGCTCTCAAATAAATCATAACTAGAGGGACAAATCACATTTGGCCTAATTATTACTTTGGAAGGAGAACAATAAACAACGGACTAGAAACTCTAATAAACATACATGAAAATCACAATGGACTAAATTCCAAGCAGTCTTCTAAATTACTCTCAGAGTAATAAGTTCATTCATATTGTTTTTCTGATGTATATGTGAACACTGCAGGCCTTGATTCAACTAAGGCTAGTCATTTAAACATTTAATTGAAACAATGAAACAAGTGAATCACAATGCACTTAAGTGCCATTGTTTTCAACAGTGTTCAGCCATGGCTAAGTGAAATGAAGATGCAGTTTTTACTGAATATATATCTACCTACTAACGATAAAGAATTTGGCTCCATAACATGCCAAGGTCTCCTATGCCTGACACATGAAAGATATTATTTAGACTCTACTGCGCCCCTTTCTCCAATGCAAATAATTTGGTTAAAAAGGAAAAAGATCTAAGCCTCTAAATATAATAGAAACCTATGGTTTATATTCCTTGATTTTCTCTACAGTACTGCTACTAAACCTCGCAACTAACCAACAGCCATTCCTGGCACCTAAAGCCAATGCAGCAATGGTAGTACAGAGGTATTACCAATCTGCTGAATAGACATTCTTAAAGTAAGATAATCCCTCAAGGGACAGGACTATTTTGAGCTACTGTACTGAACGTTCCTTTTTTAAAATCCTTACCTTATTGTGTTTTTGCTGGTGTCTTGTCCTAGTATCCAAAATATGGTAGGGACTTTCAGAGTCTTTGTTCAAATAATAGACAAGTCTTGAAGGCAATGTGATTTCTTTTTGGAATGCACTGCTGTAACTGTTATTTTTGCTACTGCTACTGTTAGTCTGTTGAAATGCAGTGTCCTTGTTTGCCAGGATGGTTTCTGTTTTTTCCAAAGTTTCATTCCAATGCATAGCTAGGGAAGACAGATAAACCTACATTAAATCACAGAGGAACTGAACACTTTATATAGATAGGATGCTTTAAATTCTGCTATTTTTGCTTCAGGAGGATAATATCATCATTCCCATGACTCCAAAACGTCTTATTGAAATATTTCCCAGTCATGCAGTACTTAATACAATGTATTTTTACATAATACATCTAAATGTACAGAAAATCATTTTTCAGAAGGAAAGCTCTTTTAATGAAACCCCAAACCTCACAACTGTCAGTTTTCCTCAGAAATATTGATCAACGAAAATTGTGAATCTTCTGCAAATTTCTTAAACCCTGAATCCATGTGTCCACTGAATATTAACCAATTCCCTTTACATAAGGACCACTTCTCACTTAACCTGTAAGGATGCAAATTCTAAGTACAGTTATTAAACAGAATTATCTCAAGAAATTCAGTTAGACTTCTTTCAAAATAAACATTTAAGTATAGCATGTGGAACAAAATATATATTTCTTTGTGCAGAGTTCTCTTAAGTGGGGGGGGGCTCCTTTTTTATTTGCATATTCCAGGTAATTTTAATTTCATTCCTAAATATCCATCCCTAAACAGAAACCTCCTTTACTCTACTTCTTACACTTTTTAAATAAGATCCACAAAAAATAACAATTCTGACAACCTGCCAATGACATTTTGCTGCATCAGCACCTTTTGAGATCATATCTTGCCTACCATCATAAGCCTGTATTTGTACCATATATACACTATAACACACACACACACACACACACACACACACTCCCCCCCCCAATCAAGGATCTTCAACATGGGAACATGAAGTTTTTTTCTCTCCTCCTTTTCACAAATGTATGAAGGAAAAGAAGGAAGAAGATCCAGTTGCAGTCACAATTAACGATTTGCTGGAAATGATCAAACGAAATTCTATCATCAGGATAGAAATGAATCTGAAGGGGTATGCACATACTTATATGTGAATGATCATGAAGGCTTCTCACCACAGGGAGCAAAACACAGGATGCTGTATAAGGTCTGTCATAATCAGAAGAGACTAATATGTCAGGGGGAATGATGAGGGGTAGGTGGGTCTAAAGGCATACGAGGAAAGAAAGAATAAACAGAGCGCCGTGATTATTATTTATCTGCATTGGCATGTAACCAAAAAGACATAAAATCGCAGGGCGAAGGAGAATAGGGCTGCCTTCCTAACATCACACTGCGGAGGAAGAAGGGGCGATTCCAGCCCATTTTCGTCCTGCACTCACCGGTGTCCGCAATGACCCCACAGTTCTCTGGGCGTCCCGAGCAGAACAGTAGGAATGCCAAAAGGAAGCGATGGAAGTGGAAGAAGCTGAGCAGAGGCAGCCGCGCCAGGCAGGCTGAGAAGGGAGCGTTAGAGGATCGGCGGTGCCGGCAGCTGCCAGAAAAGGGCTGCCGCAGAGAACTTCTGCCAGGCGGCTTCATGGCTCATAGCTTTCCGGGGGGCAGGGCGGGCGGTGGTGAACGGAGACGCCTGCCTCGTCCGAATTGTGAGGAGGATCGGGGAGGGGGCGGCGGGACTGCCCCCTTCCGTGGCAGAAGCCGACGGTCGAGCGGCTCACGCAGCGGCGGTCACGGCACTTCTTTCCTCACATTGCAGGGGGGCGAGGGGAAGACACGGCGCAGTGACTCCGCTTTTTGTTCCGGTGCTGGTGCTGCTGCTGCTGCCGCCGCCTCCACCGCGACACCTTCCTACCACCTACCACCTACCGCCTCCGCTCCATCGTCTGCGGACGCCCCTCCT